AAGTTGCGCTGAGTGAGAAAGCAGTCATGATATGACTTCCTCATGTGTCTTATTATTCTAGAGGTGGAGAAGGGTGGCCGGAGTCATCTTCTGGGATTGTGAATTCTGCGGGATTGGGGGTTGGGGGATTCCGGTGGAGCCATGAACAGATTCTTTGCAACACGTATCCCTGACCCTTCACATGAAGTCCTGCAGCTGGCATCAGCTGTGTTGCATTCCGAATGGGTGAGCCAACCCAGGCTCCAGCATCTGTACCAAGCACAAGGGAGCACCACCAACCAGACACTGCCTTGTGTTATTCTTGTATTTCCTCCTCAATCCATGTGTTCATTCATTTGGTAAGCACTCATTCACCAGCTACTACGTTCAGCAAGGGTTCCCAAACCCATATGGCATCATGGGAAACCATTCCCCACCCTTCTGGTAACAAACCTCGCACACAGTCCAGGCCTAGTGGTGCCCGTCGGAAGGTGAGAGAATGAGAACAGAAAGCAAAGGGATGCGCCTGAGTGAGCTCAGCTAAGAAGCAGCAAAGCACAGCTTGAGAGCTGCGTACACGCTAGCACACTGCCCAGACACACAGCTCAGGGCCCTGGAATAAAAGTGACCGTGTTCACGTCAGAGTGAACATCTTAAGAGAGGAAAGAGGGCCTGGTGCAGCCACTCATCACTCTAATCAAACTGCTTTGGGAGGCCGAGGAGGAAGGATCACTCGAGCCCAGGAGTTTAACACCAGCCTGGGCAACATAGCAAGATCCTTGTCTCAACAACAACAACAAAAAAAACCTAAAAATTAGCCAAGCCTAGTGGTATATGCCTTGTAGTCTCAGTTACCAGGGAGGCTGAGGCAGGAGGATAGCTTGATCCAGGGAGGTTGAGGCTTACAGTGAGCTGTGATTGCCTGCCACCTGGGGTAATCATATAATTTGTTGGGTCAACTAGAATACTTTGCAGATGGAGAGGGGTGTGGTTATCCCAAGAAAACAAGGATTTACCTTGGCTGGCCCAGACCAGTCAGTGTGTATGACCACCCTACCTGAAGGGCCAGGCACACAAGTTGCAAAGAATCTGTCCATGACTTCACCAGAATCCCACAATCAATGGGATTACCAAGAAGAATGTTAAGATGACTCAGGCTACCCTTTCCCTCTAAAATAACAAAAAAACTAAGGTCATATCATGACTGCTCCGTCACTCAACACAACTTCCCTGAGCCCAGGCTGCATACCCACCGCCATGTCAGGCACTGGGTATAGACACTTCAGCCTGGGCGACAGAGTGAGAAACTGTCTCCAAACATACAAATAAAATAAAAGGGACAGAGGAAAGAAGTCCTCCATCTGGTGTTCGTGCATGGCCCCTATAAGGCTGGATAAGGTCCTCAGCTCTTCTGTTTCATGATGAGGCCACATCACGTGAGCTTGTGGCAGTGGAAATACGTGGTCAGGGATGTGGGGCATCCAAGCAGGGGAAAGGGAGCATTCCCGTGGCCAATCTGCCCACACCGCCTCCACCCAACTGCATCCCAGCTTGGAAACCTGACTTTGGAAACACAACATGTGAGACTGTGATTTTGATTAGAAAAAAAAAAAAAAAAAGCAACTCTCTCCAAACAAAGGGTGAAAGAGAATCATTGTTTACTTATGCTCCATTCTTCTTAATTTCTGATATTCTTTTAGACAACTGCCAAGTCCGTGTAGAAACAGCTCTTCTGATGTAACAAATGTAGACTTTGATCTGACACTCACCAAAGCCATTCTGAAGAATTTCAGACTGGAACAACTTGAGCAACAAGTCATAAAATAGATGTGAGACTTGGCTTTATTTTTTTTTTAATTTACCAATAAACTAGGCCTCAAGAGTTAAAAATGAGCTTTTTTTCTCCTAGAAGTAAACACTTGTACACATTTTAAGTGACATTTTCTGTAGCGTTCCTTTTTTTTCCTTATGATGAGCATAGATTTCATACCTAGGAGCAAATGCATCACTGTTACTGTCCTTTGAACATGTGCTGGTCATGGCCTTGGCTTCGCACAGATAACCCTGAAACAGACTCTTTGATGTCACTCCTCCCAGTTTGTAAGTGTAAGTAGGGTTTCCAAGTCCCCTGGGGCAATGTCTAAAATGCCTGCCACTTGGGGTGATCATATAATTTACTGTGCCAACCAGGCCACCTAGCAGATGGAGGGGGTGTTGTTATGCCAGGTAAACAAGCATTTACCTTGACTGGCCAGGAACAATCAGTGTGTCCTGCCATTCCACCTGAAAAAAGGATGAAAACATCAGCAGTGTGTGTATTTCTACCAAGCTGGGGGACACCTCTTTAACCAGGGTGACAGTAGAGGAAAAAGGGCAGGGAGTGGTGTTGTGCGTGGTCCCGCAGTAGCCTCAGGTCTCCCCACTACTCCAGGGAAAGCAAAGCAATTGCAGAGTTCCAGAGACTGTGCCTGGGACGCCCCACATGGGGGAAGACCCGCCCATAGTCTCTGGCGTTCATCACTGGGTCAGTTTCCCTAAACACCGACCCAAAACCCACTTTTGCAACAATATTTATGAGCATCTTCTCTCTCTCTCTTCTCTCTCTCTCTTCTCTCTCTCTATCTCTCTCTCTCTCTCCCCTCACAACCCTGCTTTTGGACATCAATTAAATGAAGCGTAAGACACATGATCTAGGTAAAGAGATGACTGGATAACTTCACCACCAAGAGAAAATGCCAGTTTACCATGTGGGCCACATTCCTGGGGCCCTCGGCTAGGAACGCCTGGCTCCATTTTGCACACCTCCCATTGGTTCTCAGTGTCTACAATGCTCAACTATGTGCAAAATAGTAACACTGTTATTTACATCATAATGGATGCTAACAATAACAACTATTATGCATGAAGCACCCATGCGGGGCCAAACATTGCACCAGGCACTTCCTTACAGCACTCTCTTATCCTGATAATGAAGATATATCCATCTCCAGCCTACAGAGAAGGATACTGAGGTTCAGAGAGGTTATCCGTCTTGCTCAAGGTCACACAGCTAGGTAGAGCTGGCGTCCACTTCCCCCAGAATCTGCCAAATGTGAGAAATTCCAAGCCATATATTTGCCTTTAAGAATAAGTTTGCCTCCCAAGTAGCCTTATAGATCACTGCTATTGGTGACTAGAGTTTATGCAGGAGACTAGAAAACAAGAAAGCAAGGTTATGTCTTTCTCTGTCCCTGAACATTGGAGAGTGAGTTGGTAAAAGACCATGAACCCTAAAGAGCACAGCATTTTAATTCTGCCATCAAATGAGTGTGCTCTTCAAAATATTCCATTTACTCACCAACATGGTGCTGGATATGTCAAAATGCAAAACCAAAATAGATAGCACAGGAACAATATATTTTTAGTGCCTTTTAATGGAAATCATATGAGAATTGTGTCCACAACACGCTCCAGCAGGTTTGCAAGATGCAGGTGCTCTGCCTAAGCCCTCTGTGGACCCTGCACACCTGATGGCTAGACACACGTTCTGATCATGCCTGCTGAGCCCCAAAGAGTGAAGGTGCCCCAGGTACCAGCAACTGGGGGGACACCCTGGGAAAAACCTCGGTGACATCCTTAGCAGAATTTTCTGGGTCCCAGCCACTGGGTTAGCAGAATTTTCTGGGTTTCTCTATTTCCCTTCCATTTTTCCTCCTTGAATGAGGGATCCTACAGGGTGAGTGTTGAAGGCTGAAGTTTTCTACCCAGTGTGCTCCTCCAGCTTAGAAACGGAAATCAGGGCTTGAAAAACCAGGGAAAATAAACACAGGACCGAATTGAGTGACTCCTGGCATGAGTCAACATGGATGCTCCATCCTCCCATTCCAAGCACAAAGGGTGCTTAAAACTTTAATGAATTGAACTCTATGAGTAAGGGATGTTAATCATTTTAATTACCCAGCAGCTTGAAATCAGATATAACAGTCCAATAATGTATCTTTAAACGAATACCACCCTGCCCTATAAAAAATCCCTTCCAAACCCATTCTAATAATTTCTATTTATCTTTTCTGACGTTAACTGTTATCCGGCCCAGCCGGCCAACAGACAGCCTTCCCCTCGCATTTGGTTTAAATGCACTGCCGTCTAGTTTTTCAATATCATTAGCGTCCCCCTGGTGGGCAGAGAGCAAGGCGGTGGCACTGGTCACACTTCACTGCTTTATCTCATATGACAAAGAGCGATGATACACTTCAATCCAGGCCAGCCCGGCAGAGGGAAAGGTGGCCGCAGAAAACTCCCCCTGCTGCCGAGAAACACCCTCCGTGTGACTTGCTAACAGCATGAAGGGGCAGACAAATAGATTTTCCTCTATATTTATAACCGGCATCATTCTTCCTTTCAGGGCGTTCAGTGCAGGTAGCTGTTTTATATGAAATGAACAATCTTTATAGACGTACCAGAGCCATAACAAGCCTGATTTTCAGCGAAGCTGAGGTATATAACTCTTACCGAATTGTCAGGCTACTTGCTCAACAAATCAAGCCTAACTTATGATGTTTGCAGTGTAATTTTTATTCCTGTTTGACTAGCCAACTACCCAGTGGTAATAGGATGTTAGGAAGGGCAGTGGCGATGTTTGTGCATGCCGTGATTGATAGGCCGACTCGGCATTTTTCATTTATATCTCCAGATTCCAAATCAGTTAAGTTTAGGAAAAATGAAACAAAGTGGCAAGAAAAATGTTTGCAGATTGCAGACCTGCGCTCCCGCAGATCTGAGTTCAGCCCACATCTGCCGGGATTGTCTGGAAACATTAAGATATCTAAATGAAAATCAATACTATATGTGCCAGGCATTTACTACCAGGAACAAGCATCAAGAGACCTGAGCTAATCAGACTTCCAGCTTGTGCCTCAGCCCTAGACGGAACCCCAGGGGTGTCCTAATTGCTCAGACTAATCATAGAAGAGTTAAATTTATAACCAAGAAAGACATCTTGTTTTTCTTACCAGTCATCATTTAGGAGCGGAAAGGCTCACCTGCGAAGTGGGTGCCAGATGTACAGTGGGAGCCCCCATTCGAGAGAGGATAGCTTCTCACCTGTCAGGGGAAAGGAAAGACAGATTTACTGTCAGCAGTAAAACCATTCAGGCTCACTGAAGCCCTAGGTGGGAGACTGTTCCATCAGCTCAAACACGTACTACAGATCTCCCCATTGAAAGTCTCTCCACTTAACCCCTGTGTTCTGGAACACGGAAACCCCCTGCACACTTTGATCCCTGGCCTGGTTTTTATTTTAAGGAAACTGCTCAGAAAAGCAACTGGCATCAACCACGTTAAAAATACATGCATCTGTTTCTCCCTGAGTTCCACTCCGGGCTTTTTTGTCCCTTGAGGTCTCTAGAATAGCTAATAACACTTGGCGACATGTATCTCCCTAATATACTGTACAAACAAGTCACTGATATTTTTCACACTCCAACAAACTACAAAGTCACATAATAGCAATTGGATGAGCCCACACTATACTGCTGAAAAACCATAATGTATCAGGGGACTGGATTCCTAATATTTGCATTCTAGATGCCAACTGCGAGCATATTTTGCACTATTTTCAACAAATTACACCAAAATATGCAAAATGTTTATAAGGCTCCATCTTCTATTTTTGGCTCCAATATATTTGCAACTTAATAGTCCTTTAGAGATTTGTTTGTCTCCTTGGGAGAAACAGGAAAGTGGAAAATGAAAAAAGCAGGAAGAGAGAGGGAAAAGAGAAGAGATACAAAGACACTGTTCAGGCAAGTCGAGTTCTGCGTGTTTTTTGTAAAGAGCGGAGCCGGCTGTCCCCGGAGACCCTCTTCGACAAGAAATTTAATAACATTATTTGGATTCCTTGTGTCCCGGATTTCAGATGTATTTTTAATGCGTGTGTCTTGAAACAAAACAACCGTTGTCAAATGCTGTATCCTCTTCTCACTAGTTTAAATGGTTTCCTAGACAGCACGATTCTGGCAGCATCTTGACGGTGGTGATCAATGAAAAACTGTGCCTTGCTCTCTGTGGCTTCCCAAGGATGTTCACCCCTCACCAGGGAAGGTTTGTCAGCTCTCTTCCCAGGAAGGGTGTCTCTGGTCCTTGTGATGTGAATGATGACAGCCTCTTGCCTTCTGTTCCATCATCATTGCCTCTGCGCTCTCACAGCTGGTTGCAGGCACGCATCTGTCTTTCTTGTCTTCAACCTGTGACACCACCATCCCTGACCGCACTGTGCCTGTGTAAGCGTTAGGGCTGATCTGTGGAGCAGAATCCAGTATGTGGGAGATTAAAATGTACGTGGGTTGAAGAGGGCAGCAGTTTTCCTGATGCTGGATTACACAGCCAAGTTGAAAACTTTTCAATCCAGCTTCTCCCATTGTAAAAGGTGTCAGACAAAAAGCTAATTTTTTTTCTAATATTATGCCCAATGAACTTAACCTAGAGATTGGGCCTCATGGCTTCGGCCGCTAGAACAATCTTTTTTAACAAGACTGAAGCTTCAGCCAAATTCATTACTTACTCAGAATGAATAAAGCCAGAGGAAAAGATATGACTAAATCTGTGTTCTTAGCCAGACGTCAATCTAAAAAAAAAACAGTGGAAGAGAGTACATGGCTTTCCATATCTTTGTATACACAGCAGGCCCTCAACATGCATGTGTAGGTCGGATATGCCAACAACATATGGTGGATGGACTGTGAAGCCACTTGAGTTGGACTTACACTCAAGAAAAGGTAAAGAGGTCAGACACGGTGACTCACACCTATAATCCCAGCACGTTGGGAGGCCTAGGCGGTGGGAATCGCTTACGCCTAGGAGTTAGAGACCAGCCTGGGCAACATGGCAGAACCCCGTCTCTACAAAAAAAAGTTTAAAAATTAGCCGGGCACAGTGGCACATGCCTATAGTCCCAGCTACTTAGGAAGCTGAGGCAAGAGGATCGCTTGAGCCCAGGAGTTGGAGGCTACAGTGAGCTATGATCATGCCACTGTACTCCAGCCTGGGCAAGAGAGAGATACCCCAACTCTAAGAAAAAAAAAAAAAAGAGATAAAAAAGCATCATTCAAATGGAGGGACTGAGGCAGAAATGATCCTCAGAGCACATCAGGCCACAGCCTTTCCTCTAGGAATGCTGCATTGCTCTGCACACCAAGCACTGAATCTGAGGCAGCCAGACCCTTAATTGCCCCCAGTACCAAGGCCAACAGCTCACACAGCTGCTGGGCAGGATGACTCCAAACTCATTCCTCAGCCAGACGGGTCCTCTCAGGAAAGCACGCTTGACACGGCCAGGTGTGGCTCTCAATTCAGGGGAGCCAAAGCCTTCACAAGCCCTACGTCCTGTGTCCTAGCTCCACAGTCCTCATGGGACCTGCTCCTGTGGCCGGGCTCACATGGACAGGGGCTTCTGTGAAATAGCCTAAGTGGTGAGAAAACTCCTAGGGTCCCAGCTGGAAACGCTGACTGGGGTTGCAGCTTTTCCCGCGGTTTTGATGGCCCGGCTGGGAGGCCTGCTAGAGGCCAGGGAGCAAGGCACGGTCACCCAGACAAAACAGTCAGTAGAGTTCCCCCGAAGGGAGTCCAGGCAATTCACAACAGAAACAAAGCTTCTGCTTCCTGCAGGCTTTCCATGTACCAAGCACTATTCCTGGTGTTGTGTGTGTTTAACTTGATCAGTCTTCACAATGGCCCTGAGAGGTAGAGCCCATTATTAGCCCGCAGGGAAGATGAGTAACTTGGCTCCAGTCACAAATTGCTGAGGGACAAAATCAGGTCTTGTCCCTGCAGTCAGGTGTGGAGTCCATGCACTTTGCAGAAGGAGGTCTCCGGGGGGCTCAGGAACAAGGGCCCTCCATGATGAGGTAACGTGGAAGATCATGGGCTCAAGATAGGAACCAGATCATATTTATATGATTCATAAGGTAAATAATAATACTACCAGAAAGCCACACCCATCAGAAAGCTTTAATATGGAGGCCAAGCCAGAGCTGAGCTTCATTAAGTGAGATCCATAGAAAAGGGAGGCTCGAACAGAAATGCAATTGAAATGGTTGTAAGATAAGCACTTGGGGGCATTCAGCAGTGTGACTCACCTGGGCTTTATCCCCCGTTCTGACACTGGCTGAAAGTAACAGCAGTCAATTACCAATGGCTTTGGCTTCATCTCTGGCATTCCAAAACCCTGTGGTCTCACTGTCATCTCATAATCAGAAAACCAGAACGACAGCCACCCGCCACTCCCAGAGCCTGCCTGCCCAGCACCCTGGCCTCCTCTGGGACCACCTGTGCACCCCTACATTGCCATCACAGGCCAGCAGAGTGAAACTTCATCAGCAACATTTCCCATAAGACAGGGGGCACATTTGTAAAGTGACCCTTCTTCTGCCTTTTGGCTCTAGAAGAAAGGGGCGAGAGAGCAGGGGAAGGAAGACGGGATGATCCCCCTGCGGATTGAGTTGGGCGGAGGACATGGCTTGTTTAATCCTAATAAATCAGAGCAACCCCGGGGGAGTGGAAGCAACAGGGGCTGGTGTGCCAGCCGTGCGGCACATTGACCCAAGGCAGAGCTCGTGCAGAAATGATGTCCTCTTAAGCAGACCCCTGGAGAGATGGTCTGCATTTCTCCTGACAAATTAGAAGTGCCCTGAATGCAACCATTCCTCAGAAAATAGGCCTGATTTAGCAATGCACCAGCTGCATTATCTCGCTGCATAAAAAGACCATTTAAGCAGGGAAGTCTTTAGAACACTGGCCCTTTGGAGCAGCAGTTCTGAAATATTACCCACCTCGACTGCCACCTAAGCTAGTCACTCCCCAAAGGAAAAGCCTCATTTACAACCTAGAAGACGGAGCGTGCTTTAGTCAAAGGAAAGGGTCATTTGTCTCTGGTCTCTGCATGAGATTTCCTGTGTTCCTGTCCTACTGAAGCCCTCAGCTCACCTCCGATGGCCAAGCCGAGTCGAGAACTACTATATGGGGAACACCAGTTTCATCCCATCCAAGGTGTCTTGCCCCGTTCAGGGCAGCCAGAGCCCTAACCATCCCCACTGAATATCAGAGCAATTACAAAGCAGATCTGGTGACAACAAAGCTAAAAAGATGAAATAATCCGTTTGCGCAAAATGTGCATGTTTGAAAACTTTGCATGCAAAGATTACAACCTGTCATTATCTTCCCCAGAGACACACTACCTTCTTAAAAAGTATCTCTAATGAGATCTACAAATCTGTTGAAGACAGCTTACTTTATTGTGTTTGTAAAGATAAAAATGTTTTAAATAGGTTATGGCTCCTGGGACTGACAGTCTCACCATGAGGGTAAGGTCATTTTGAAATGTTAATAAAAGTTTTCATAAAATATGACGGCACTCAAAGAGTAATGTTTGGATGTAAAAATAACTATAAAAGTATAATTTCTACCAGGGTACATGTGCAGTTTTTCTGTGTCAAGATATTTGCCCAATTTTTCATTTGACTGGGGTTGCAGCTTTTCCAGCTGTTTTGACGGCCACGCTGGGATTCGATCCTTATTAGAGAGGTTTGCAGCAGGCTTTCCCAGGCTTGGCCAGTTATATTACAGATTTTTCCTTGAAGCGAAGTCTTGCACTGCCCTGACCATTATGCAAATACACAAGCACTCAACCTAGAATTGTCTCAGCTTGCAGTAGGCATCATGGTCCTCACACCAAAGGAGCAAGGCAAGCAAGACTGGTAGAGCCAGCAGGGAGGGGATCCTGGGGACAGAGTCCTCATAGCTCCCAGTTCCTGGGCTAGTCAGGGGGAACATGCCAAACTGGAAACATTCAGCTGTTTCCTATTCAATGAGCTCCTTCGTGTTTGAAACTAACCAGCCCAAAGGAAATATCTCAGAGGCATTTTCTAGGTGATGAGATAACTAATGAGACCAATCCAGGGTCTCAAATCAACCCCGATATTTCTATTAAGGCACCTGGGACACATAGAGTCCCCCAGGACCCAAGGTTGGGAACAAAACTCCCTGCAGACACATATTTAGGGGAAAGTTAAGGCATGCTGGAATCAAGGATCATGGATTTGGGACAAGAAAGAGACAGCATCAGAGTCCTACCTATGACGTATTCTGGTTTTGGAGCCTTCAGCAAGAGATTTCTGTCCTGGGCATTATCCAGAATTTTAGGTACTGATACCTACCACATATCTGAG